ACCACAGCTTCTCTAGCCATTCGTTTGTTGATGGGCACTTAGGTTGTTTCCAACTCCTTGCTATTGTGAACAAAGCTGCAATGAACATGGGTGTGCATTCTTTTGGTATTTTCTGCTTTCAGTCAAAATCCATCTGACATCAGCAATGATATTTCTGGTGCCACAATTTCTGAACCCAGCTTGAACTTCTGTAAGTTTTCTTAGTGTACTGTTCTAACCATTTTTGGTGATCTTCAGCAATATTATGTTTACATTTGATATTAATAATATTGTTCAATAATTTTCACATTCTGCTAGATCACCTTTTTTGAGAATGGGAACAAATTTGGCTCTCTTCCAGTCATTTGGCCAGGTAGCAGCCTTTGAAATTTCTTTGCATAGTGAGCATGTTCGGGGCTGCATCTTTTCATTAAAACATTTCATTTGGTATTTCATCAGCTCCCAGGGCCTTTCTTTTTGCTGATGTCTTCAGTGCAGCTTGAACTTCTTCGTTCATTATTGTTGGCTATCATGTGCTACTTCCTGAAATATTTCAGTGTTGACCGAATTATTTTTAGTCCAGTGATTCTGTGTATTCCCTCCATCCTCTTTTTTTAAAGTTCATTCATTATTGCACATTATCCTCCCTTCCTCTCCCTTCCCCCTCTGCCAGTCCACTTTGCAGTGCACCTCTTTTTCCAGATTATTGTCATATATATAATACCTAATCACATATTCCTTTTCTATAGTTCTTTCCTTCATCTATTCCAATGCAGTGTTCATTATCTATCCACTCTTTTCCTATTCTTCCTCAAGCTCCCCATGCCAGTCCTGTTTTATAAGAGTGGTGTTATGCAATATTTGTCCTTTTCTAACTGAGCTATTTCACTCAGCCTAATGGCCTCCAGGCTCCCCCATGCTATGTAATATTTTACATGTTCATTGCTTTTCAATGCTGCATAATATTTCATTGAGTGTACCATAGTTTTTCTAGCCATACTTATCTTTCTTCTGTGGAACCACCTGGTGGGTTTGAACTGCCCAGCCTTTGTTGGAAAGCAGCTTCACACTGGACTGTTGCACTATTAGGATGTCTTTTGAAACTTGAGGTATTTATTTTAAATTTATAAAAAAAGATGGAGTGGTATTTCTAGACAGTATTAGTAAGAACTTAAAGTGCAGAGTAATAGGTCACATTGTATATGATTTTCATCAGCAAACCTCAAATGCTCTGCTCTGATTTAAGCTTTGGTGGTTGGATTCAACCCAGAGTGAGTTGTTGGTTTTTTCCCTTAGTGAATATAGTGGAAGGAAAGAGAGGAAGGAAAGGTAGCTGAAGATATTTGCAAGGGTGTAATTTTGTTTATTAATTAATTTATTTATTTTTCATTTCGGTGAACATCTACAGAGATTTTGGAATTCCATTCATTCATTGTTGCACCCCTCTCCCCGACCCCCTCGTTTACTCCTCTCCTTGAAAAGCAAAAGAAAAACTCCCTCATTGGTACACAATCCCCCCCCACATTCCCCACCCCCACC